CTCCCCAGCCCACGGCGGGGGGGGGAGAGTGAGTGAGTGGCTGCGTGGTGCTCAGCTGCCAGCTGGGGCTAAACCACCACAAAATGTTATAAAGAAATCAGTCCTCATCTTGGCATATTACATAAATAAAGCAAATTTAGTGGGTCAGCAGCTAGATGTTTGAAACTGAATACCCAGGATCTTCCGACAGCATCTACCTCCTTCTCTTCCTCCATTTAATTAGCACAGCATTCTTGTTTCTTTTGGTAATACAGTTTATGTACAGTCCTCTCTACTACATTTTCAATTTTCTGTGGCTAATTTCATCACTTCAGTAAGTAAATGCATTGTAGATGTTGATGAGAGAGCAGTGGAGGTTTTCTCCAAGGAGGAAGAGGGAGCTGAGTTTTTTTGCTTCCTGGAGAGGCCCAGAAAGTGATGGTTTGGGTTGTCCTCGAAGGACGCTCTTGTTTTCTCTTTTCTCTGACACAACTGGCAAATTTAAAGATAGTAGAGAATTTGTGCCCCCCCCCCTTTTTTTTTTCCTTCTTTTTAAATAGAACTTACTGATGAACAGAAAGAGTTTCAAGCTACTGCTCGTAAATTTGCTGCGGAGGAAATAATTCCCGTTGCTGCACAATATGACAAAACTGGAGAGGTAAATCTACTATAATGTAAGGGGAAAAATAGACTTTTATCTTAACTTGTATAAAATTGAAAATGTTGATTGTTATGAAACAGAAAGTGATTTCCCCCTGTCTATTTCAGTATCCTCTTCCACTTATAAAACGGGCTTGGGAACTTGGTCTTATGAATTCACACATACCAGAAAGCTGTGGTAAGTAAACATTCTTTTTAATCTGCAAAATGAAACAAAAAAAAAGGCATTAGATGAGAATTATATGTGTAATTATGGATTCTATATAAAATAAACAGTTGCATACTTGAATAATCTAAGTTTAATCAGTCGGTGGGTTGACACATACGAGTGTTACTAGGTGTGGATGTAATCAAGAGACAAATTAGGCAGATTATGGTCTAGTAATTTATGACCAGATTTTCCTACCGTGATTACAGCTGCCTAATGTTCCCCTGGTGCGCCATGTCAGCTGATTAGGCAGAGAAATTAGAAGGTCATATTTTGTTCTAGTCTCTGACATAGGCTGGAGCAATTTAAGAGTTTATTCCAGAAGGACAGTTTTTCAGTTTAGATTACACAGAATCACACAGAATCACAGAACAGTAGGGGATGGAAGAGGCCTCTGGAGATCAGCTAGTCCAACCCCCCTGCTAGAGCAGGGTCACCTTGAGCATGTTGCACAGGATTGCATCCAGGTGGGTTTTGAATCTGTCCAGAGAAGGAGACTTCACAACCTCTCTGGGCAGCCTGTTCCAGTGCTCTGTCATGCTCAGAGTGAAGAAGTTTTTCCTCATATTGAGATGGAACTTCCCATGTTCCAGTTTGTACCCGATGTGCTTTGTCCTGTCACTGGGCACCATTGAGAAGAGTCTGGCCCCTTCCTCTTGACATCCACCCTTTAGATATTTATAAGCGTTGGTTAGATGCCCTCTCAGTCTTCTCTCCTCCAGAGTAAACAGACCCAGCTCTCTCAGCCTTTCCTCATAAGAGAGATGCTCCAGTCTCCTCATCGTCTTTGTAGCCCTCTGCTGGACTCTCTCCTGTAGTTCCTTGTCTTTCTTGAACTGGGGACCCCAAAACTGGACACAGAACTCCAGATGTGGCCTCACCAGGGCAGCATAGAGGGGGAGGAGAACCTCCCTCAACCTGCTGGCCATGCTCTTCTGAATGCACCCCAGGACACCATTGGCCGCCTTGGCCACGAGGGCATGTTGCTGGCTCATGGAGAGCTGCTTGTCCACCGGGACTCCCAGGTCCTTTTCTGCAGCGCTGCTTCCCAGCAGATCAACCCCTCACCTGTACTGGTGCTTGGGATTATTCCTCCCTGGGTGCAGGACCCTACATTTGCCCTGGTTGAATTTCATTTGGTTCCTCTCCGCCCAATTCTCTAGTCTGTCCAGATCTCGCTGAATGGCAGCGCAGCCTTCCAGTGTGTTGGCCACTCCTCCCAGTTTGGTATTGTCAGCAAACTTGCTGAGGGTACCCTCCATCCCCTCGCCCAGGTCGTTGATGAATATGTTGAATGAGACCGGGACCCAGCACTGACCCTTGGGGCACACCGCTAGCTACAGGCTTCCAACTAGACTCTGCACTGCTGATCACAACCCTCTGGGCTCTGCCGTTCAGCCAGTTCTCAGTCCACCTCGTTGTCCACTCACCCACCCATGCCTCCTAAGCTTGCTTATGAGGATGTTATGAGAGACAGTGTCAAAAGCCTTGCTGAAGTCAAGGGAGACAACATCTGAGACAAGGTAGACAAGATCAGGTGCAGTACAGCAGTGCTTTGGCAGTGTTTAGGTATATGAATAACCACGGAAAAAATGTTAATTTTTTTTTTTTCCCATTTATATTACCTGAAAAAGAAGTGAGGGAAGTGTCCATAGCAGACCGTTTTTTGGAAGACTAATCAGAAGGCGTATCTTGTATTAAAAAATTAATAAATGAGGTTAAAGAACAAAGAGACAGAAGGAGCAATTGTGAGGACCAGATTTATTCAGCCACAAATTCTAGAGAAACTAAAGGCTGAAATAGCTGGCCTACTGCAGTGTATGATCACTTGGTTATTAAATGAAAAATTACAAGTGGCAAACTGGACACCATTGCTGTAAAAGATCTCCAAGGGAGACTGGGAAAATACATACTAGTCAGCCTGATACACCATGTAAATTAGGAGCAAGTAAGATGAACTACAGAAATAGTGGACACAGATAAACATGATATGCTACAGACAGGTTTTTGTGAAAGGAAATCATGCCTCATAAAATCACTGGAGTTCTCTGAAGTAGCTAGTAAGTGTGAAAATAAGGGATGCCTGGTTGATATAGAATGCTTGAACTTCCAAAATGAATTTTAAAAGTCATCGGGTTTCATAGTGGAAAAATGAGCAGCACAGCCTTGCTGAGTCTTGTGCTATTTGGAATATCTATAAATAAACTGGAAAAAGGGGTCAATGTTGAGGTGATAGGGTTTGCTGATAATACTGTTATTGAGTGTAGAAAAGATGAGGCTGGTGCAAAGAGCTGCAGGAGGTCATGAAACCGAGTGACTGTTAAAATGGCAAATGCAATTCGAAAAGGAAAAGTGATACACATGTGAAGGGAAAGAAGCAATCCAAACTTCAGAGAAATGGTATCTTTTGAAATGGTTACTGCCTCTCAAAAAAGAGATTTTTGGGTTTATAATATATAGTTCTGTGAACGTCAGCATAATGCTCAGAAGTGGTCAAACCCATAAAATTTAAGGTCAGAAGGGACCTTTAAGGGAAAGAAGAAAAAGGCAGAAGGCATAATTATGCTGCTGCCTGAATCCAAATAGCACTTGCCTCTAATTCATTATGTAATCAGATCCTTCCATCTCAAAGTGTATTGTGGAAATAGAGAAGGTTCCTAAAAGGATGACAAAGATTATAAAAGGTGTATCTTCTGTGTGACATGTAGCTTCTGTATGAGAAACGACTAAAATGTCAGTGTTACGGGGAGTGTGAAAAGGGATTGATAGTTCACTGTCCCTTTCAATAGAACTGGAAAGGACCAAATCAAGTCAGTAGGTGGCAGGTTCAAAATAAGTGAAAGGAGATGGTTCTACACGCAGTGTGTAGTTAATTTGTGAAACTCATTGCCTCTGAATGATATTGAGGCTAAAATTGTACATAGATTCAAAAAGAGACTGGGCAAATTCACATAAGAATTGTCTGTCAAGGGTTAGCATAACAAAGATAACAAAGTGAGGTATCGCTTTGGCTGAGGAAGTCACCTGAAGGCTCAGGAAAATATTTTTGAGGAAGTATAGGTTTTTTGTCATTGTATATGTACACTTCCACTTTGTGAAACTCTTGCTTTGTTAATCACACAATAATTCTGGAACTGTGATATGTAATTTTCAAACCACGTGTTACTCTTCTGACTAAACTTTATTTAAAAAGTTATATGAGAATGTCTAATCAAACATGATACACAATCAAATGTATGTAGGGGAATATATTTTTGTTAATTTATTTGTGTAAATCACTAACATGTTACAATTTAAACCCATTTTAGTAAATGAAATATTTCAACTGTAGGTGGTCTTGGCCTCGGCACTTTTGAAGCATGCCTTATTACGGAAGAGTTAGCTTATGGATGTACAGGGGTTCAAACTGCCATTGAAGCAAATTCCCTAGGGGTAAGTTCTGGCTTTTCTTACATCCCTTAAACTAGAATCTGTGCACCGTAAAAAGATGAATTAATGGTCTAAATATTTTCTTTCAGCAAATGCCAGTAATCATTGCAGGAAATGAGCATCAGCAGAAAAAATACTTAGGAAGAATGACAGAGGAACCAATGATGTGTGTAAGTATAACTGCTATACTGTGGAATGTTCGTAAACCCTATTAATCAGTATTACTCCTTTTTTCCCTTTATTTTTTTCTTTTTTTCTTCTTTTTTCTTTTTTTTTTTTCCCCAAATGTGTTGGTTTTGCATGGCAAGGTTTTGGTAGCGGGGGGGCTACAGGGGTGGCTTCTGTGAGAAGCTGCTAGAAGTTACCCCTGTGTCTGATAGAGCCAATGCAAGACGGCTCCAAGAGGGCACAGCCGGCGCGCCCGCGCTCACACAGAGTCGCCCCCGCCGCTGGCGAAGGCAAAGCCAATCAGCGCCTCTGTGATAACAGAGTTAATAAAGAGAAAAAACAGTTAGAGAGAGCTTTTG